ACTCTCCTTCTGTCCTCCCTAGTCATTGTCCAACTCTCTGATGCATAACAAGCGATTGCAAAGACCATGACGTTGATATTATTATCCAATTAAATGACAATTTGCATCACATATGTATTGATTTCTATAGTTAAGATACAGAACAATTCCATAGAATTTCTATTACTGTTTTAGAATTATACCTAACTCCCTAGGAATGGAATTATATAGTATGGAATCTTTTATAAGTGGTGTTTTGTTTTTTTTTAAGACTCAGCATCATTCTCTAGCGATTCATTCAAGTTGTTGTATGTATTAATAGCTCATTCCTTTTTATTGCTGATTAGCATTTTATTGTATGAATGGTATTTATACATACCACGTGGTATTGATGTGGTATCATGAATTACCACAAATGTAGTGACTTGAAACAACCCAAATTTATTATCTTACAGTTCTGGAGAGCCGAATCTTAGACAGTAAGATGTTGGCAGGGCTCTGTTCCTTCTGGAGAGTAAGGGAGATCTGTCTTCTTGCCATTTTCAGCTTCTGAGGCTGCCTGCATTCCTTGGCTTCGGGCCCCTTCCTTCATCTTCAAAACCCAAAGCAGAGCATCTTCAAATCTCTAGAGCTCTTTGGCCTTTGTTTCTGTTGTCTCACCTCTTCTGAATTCAGAGTCAAAACCTATTGTCCACCTCTTATGAGAACCCTGTGATTATATTGGAACCCTCAGGATAATTCAAGATAATCTCCCCATCTCAAAATCCTTAACTTAATTACATCCCTTTGGCCATGTAAAACTGACATATTCGCAGGTGCTGGGGATTAGGACCTGGATATATTTGGGAGACCATTAATCTACCACAAGGTTGTTTCCAGATGTTGGCTATTAAGAATAAAGCTACTATAAACATTTGGACAGGTTTTTTTCTTTTTATTTTTCTGTGTGTATGCATAAATCTTCATTTCTCTGGGATAAATGCCCAGGAGTGCAATTGTAATTGCATATTTAGTCTTATTAGAAACTGCCAATCTATTTTCCAGAGTGGCTGGAACATTTTACATTCCCACCAGCAATGTGTATGTTAAAAGTAATCCAGTTTCTCTGCATCTGCTAGCATTTGGTTTTGTCACTATTTTTAATTTTACCTATTTTGATAGGCAGGCAGTGATAGCTCACTGTGATTTTATGTAATCTTTTAATCTAAAATGCTTTATTTTTTTCCTGTTGTTGCACATTTTCTTCCCTCACTGTGCTTTTAACTTGCCTTTGCCTAATAGTTAATGAAGCTGAACATCTTTTCACGTGGATGTTGTTTTTTGGTAGCAGTATCATCACTAACATAGGCTTGGTGGTGGTGGTTGTTGTTGTTGTGTACTGTCAGGTTGGAAATGACTCACAGTTGACCCTCCAGTTGGTTTTCAGAGGCAGTCATATGGGAGGAGATTGACCATCTTCCCCCCCCACCCCAGGAGCAACTGGTGGCTTTGAACCACTTACCTTTGAATTAGCAGCATGATTCACTAAGCCACCAACACTTCCTAACACAGTGTTTAGTAACGTTAAATGCAACATTCATGCTAACGAACTTTTAAATGTTATTGACAGTAAGGTGAGAGATGGAAATACTAGGGAATACAGGGCTCTGCTTGGAAAAAGTGCAGCCTTGGAGGCAAAGATGAGGAAGCTTCTTTCATACTCTGGATATGTTGCTAGGCAAGGCTATTCTTTGGAGAAGGACATCATGCTTGGAAAGACTGTCAGTAAAGGAGAGAAAGACCCCTGAAGAGACAGATTGACACGTTGACAGCAACAATGGACTCAAGCATGTCAGAGTTGGTGAGGACGGTATTGAACAGAGCAGTGTTCAGATCTGTTGTTCATAGGGTCACTATGATTCACGGTCAACTTGAGGGCACCTAACAACAAAAACAATAACAACAACTTTGAAAATGTTATCAGGAGGGACCTAGTCCTTGATAAGGTAGAAAGTCCCTGTAGTGGAGTTGCAACCAACACATAGCTGACCAGTAGATTTTCAGAGGCTTTAAATCACACAGGAGGAGATTGCCCATCTTTTTCCTGCTGGTGTAGCTGTTTGGTTCCAACCGTCGCCTATGGACTGGGAGTGCAACTCCCTACCCACTGTTGCTGTTTGTCAAAGAGTTGAATCGACTCATAGTTGACACTCTCCAGTGGGTTTTCAGAGGCTGTAAATTTCAAAGGAAGAGACTGTCCTTGCTGCTTCTCCCATGGGGCATCTGGTGGATCCAAACACAAGCATTTGGGGTTGCAGCTCAGCTTCCTACCACGAGGCCACCAGAGATAACGTAGAGCGGCCAGCAAGAAAAGGAGACTGAACTGCGAAGAGATTTATGGACACAGTGGCTTCGACAGCCGACTGCAAACACACAGCTAGTGAGAGGATGGGGGAGGATGTGGGGCTCTGCTGTCCACAGGGTCACTGCGCATGTGTCAGAACCTGTTCGCCGGCACCTTGCAGAGACACCCCTGCACCCGAGAGAGCCCGGTGGCCCCGTAGGGCGTGGTGGACACGTCTCTGCGTGGACATCTGCGTCGCGGCCGCCGTGTGACCGGACGCTCGAGGCTCTGAGGGCCCCGGGGTCGCTCTACGAGCGCGTCCACACGGCGCTGAGGGGGCGGCCATGCGCTCGAGTCCCGACTCCCGGCCCCACGGACGGCCACTCGGGTCCCCCCAACCCAGCAGGCCCCCCGTTTTCCCCGCCAGAGCCGAGGGGCAGGAGCGGCCGCCAGGGGGCGCCGTGAGAAGGCCCGAGCCTCCGCTGGTGGCCATGGCGGCCCCGGGCGGGCCCCTCGGCGGGGCCGGACCCCTGGCTCTGCTCCTGGTCCTCCTGCTCCTCGGACCTGGGCTCGGGGAGGAGGTGCAGCGAGGGTGGACGGCCCCCTCCAGCCTCCATCTCCCTCCAACAAGTGGCCCCCAGGGTCCTGGTCCCAGCCCGCTGAGCCTGCCATCCGGCGGGGCTATGACACCCTTCTGGGTCTCTGGACCCCGCAGGACGGCAAGAGAGCCCTCTTTGCTGACCACTGTTGTCCGCAGGGACCTCTACGCTCCGTCAGCAATAACCAAATCACCAGCCCCCAGCACCCAGCTACCCAAAAGTCCAGGTGATGATTTGGGGCCAAGGGCCTGCTGGAAGAATCGACCTGGTCTCGGGGAGTGGGGGGGACCCCTCCACCCCTCCCCGGTGGAAGGGCTCAGGGGGATACCATCCTCCACTGGAGGTCTACGTAGACCACCTCTTCCTCGCTCTGGCTGGCTTTGGGGGTCTTGGGGGACAGGGCCTTGCTGGCTCTGGGGATTCTGAGCATCCCCAGATTCTGACCTGGGCTGCCTTGGTGGTCAAGGGTGGGGGAGGTGGTGGGTGGAGAAGACAGAGTCTTCACCTTCAGTCCCCTTTGGTCACCGTCCTGCTCCAGAATGTGGCCAGCGGCGCATGAGGATAGTTGGTGGACTTCCCGCTGCAGAGAAGAAGTGGCCCTGGCAGGTAAGCCTGCAGGTCCAAGATAAACACATATGTGGAGCCTCCCTCATCGACCACCAGTGGGTGCTGACCGCGGCCCACTGCATATACGGGTGAGTGTTTGGGGTTCAGGGTTTGGCCCCTGGGGCAATCTGTGTGCCTTGGAGACAGTTCAGTGCCCCTCCTTTTTCTCCTTTTCTGTATCAGAAATAAATAAAAAAGGTCACGGCCCCTGCTCTGAGTGCTAGAGTCAGAGACAGATGATATTCCAGCCCTTGGTAGCCTAAAACATTGAGACAGGCCCCCTGCCCCAATCAGGTTCAAGTCAGGTTAACTTTGAAATGAAATGGCAAGAAGAGGGAGAAATAAGTACCTGTCGGAACACAGTGTGGGCGAAGGTTTAGAAGGAAGATAATGTAAGGTGTCGGGGGTGGATGGAGTTGAATAATTTGGCTAGATCAGTGGTTCTCAAACTTGAATGAATTTCAGAAAGCCCTTAAGGGCTGTTCAGACTCACACACACTGTTATGTCTGGAGTTTTTTCATTCAGTAGTAGCTCAGCTAGGCCCTGAGAATTTGCATTTCTAACAAGTTCCTGGTACTCTGAGAACCAGCGTTAGAATGGTCAAGGTTGTGTGGGAGGTGATTTAACGGGAGGGAGGTGGCTGGGTTTTTTCTCTTGGGAGGGTGAGGCCAGGCTGGGAAGCACCTGGCAGGTGTGGAAATGGCGTGTAGACCCTCCAGGACCTCCTTACAGCCACTTGGAATACACAGCGAAGCTGGGAGACATACATTTGCATCATCAATCAGCAACGGCTGCAGTAGTCCCCATCCGAGACATCGTTATCCACAAAGATTATACCACTATTGGAGAAATCACAAACGATATTGCCCTCGCTCTGCTCGACTTCCCAGTGAATTACTCCTCTTACATCCAGCCTGTATGTCTCCCGGAAAAGACTTTCCAGGTGCAAGCTGATACGCGCTGCTGGGTGACCGGATGGGGCAAATTATATGAAAATGGTGAGACTGTCAAGCAAGACTCCAGTGAACTTGAGCCAGGGAAGAGGCCGCCTTGTTCCCTGGGGTTGGCCTGCAAGCTAAAGGGAGGGACAGGGAGGCAGGTGTCCCAGCAGAGGGGCAAAGGGGTGGAATGAGAGAGGATGCTGCCAGGAAGCAATTGAACAAAGGGGTTTGCAAATTTCTGTTGGTATTCTATTTCTTTTGGGTGGGAGGACTGGGTTCCAGGTATGGTGGGATTTTTCTGCTGAGAGATTTTAGTTAAGGGTGTGGCCAACTAGCTACCAGTCAGAGCTGCCCCTCACTGGAATACCTGTCTAAATGGGTGGGAAGACTCCTGGAGTGTAGGTAGCAGCAGAGGGCCCTTTATCTGTGAGGCTTCTGGGCCTGCTAGTGTGGGAGGAGCTGGGATTTGGTACTTTCAAGGAATTACCTGTCCTAGAGCCTGTGATTCTGTGACTCTGATGCACAGGACCCATGTACTACCCTCTTGCTACTGCTACTCAGAGTGACAGCAGCTTGGTTATGCCTCTCCCAACTTTGACCTGTTCTGTTCTCCTGTCTCTGCTTTGTGTCTTACCTCTTCTTCTTCCTATATCAATTTTGGGCCTCAGTTTCCTCCTGTATTGTTTGGGGACCATACCCACTGTCCTGCCTGCCTCCAAGGGGTGTCTATGTGTGAACACAGTTTCAAGACCCAGATTGGATGTTGGGGGGTTTGGCTAGGGGTGCTCCTCTCCCACTCAAACAGACCCACCCACTCGTAAGGTGTGTCTCTGCAGATAAATCAAAGCAAGCACCTCTCATACTTCAGGAAACTGATCTGAACATTATTCGCTACAAGGAATGTAACAAGATTCTCAAGAAGTACCTGTCCAGTTCTTCGGATGTTGTTAGGGAAGGGGTCGTCTGTGGCTATAACAACCAAGGAAAGGATTCCTGCCAGGTCTGTTCACGAGCCCTTTTCCTCCATGTGTGTGGACTGTCTCCTCCAAGTTTCTTTGTCTCAGAGGTGACAGGGCTTAAATTATTTGACAACCGTGCCATTCACTGTTTCTTCAAGTGAAGGGGACTCCTGGGAATGAGCTGCTAAGGCTCTTCCGGGCTGGCCTGACCTGGCCTTCAGGAGAGAGAAGCTGGTACTGCCTGAGAGGGGAGTGGGGAGAGTCAGGCTGGTAGTACTGGTAATACTAGACCCATTCATTGTTTTGAGTCCCTTCCTTATGCTAGACCATGAACTCAGGTAAGCTCTGGATAAATTTCCCCCCTGAACTTTTTCCCCACTTTGTTTGAACACACTTTTTTTTTGTATATACAAAATTTTGTTGTTATCATTGCTGTTAAAGATTTCAGCCTTTGGATCTCCTATCTGTAGAAACAAAGGTCTGCTGGGGCCCATGGTTGTACCTGGGGAAGGGCTGGCCATGCAGCCAGCCTGCTCTGATTTGGCTGTCCGTCCATTCCTGGGATTTGTTGCTTTCTTTTTCTCCAGGGAGATTCTGGGGGACCCCTGGTCTGTGAGTTTAACAAAACTTGGATGCAAGTGGGGATAGTGAGCTGGGGCATCGGCTGCGGTCGGAGTGGAATTCCTGGAGTTTACACAGAAATTAGTTACTACAAAGAGTGGCTCTTCCATCAGTTTAATCTGTCTTCCTCTGTGGACCCGGAAGTCTTTCTCATCCTGCTCCTGTCTCTGGTGCTGCCTCTGAACATCCTATCCTGATGATCCTGTGACTGCATCCACCCTGCCCCATCTACTTCCAGGTCTCCCACTTCGCCTCTCCTGCAGCTCCCATTCCTTCTCAATGCCCTGTCCTCACATTCCAGTTGGGATCCATTGACCTTGTGGAGATCCACACACTAGAGGGTGGCGTTGAGCCTGGAGCCCAGAAGATGCCTGGCCTGGTGCAGTGGTCACTTTGCCCAAACTTTAACTGCGCCCCCAGCCTTTCACCACCACTCTGCCTGCCAGAAAGGAGGGGGTTGGCTGGTCAGGTGGAACATAGTGGTACCTTCCCCTTTTGGAGAAAACCATCAAAGAGATGAGATTTGGTTTGGCATCATCAGTGGTGAAACCAGATCTTGGTTCTGGTTTCAGGGCTCTCCCTTGAGACTTGATCCCACCAGTCAGCTTGGGACCATTGAAAGAGAGAGTGAAGGAGGCATCACTATGCCTCTGCTGAGGTGCCAGGCCCAGGGCTTCCACAGCTGAGGCTGGAGCTGGAGAAGCTGGGAGAAGTCCCACCCACAGTGCGGGTCCTTCTGGGAGTGCACAGCCTCTACTACACAAGCCCTCCTGGGGTACCTCAATCTTGGATCCCCTTTCTTGGTGCTCTAGTGGCCATGCCCGGGGTCACCTCAAATTGTGTTGAGGCGTATGGAGTGTGAAAGAGTTAAGATGAATAAAAGATGAATAAAGAGTTAAGTGAATAAACACTTCAAGAGTTGCCTGTGTGTTCTCTCTCACTGCTTATCTGGGCCATGTTGTTATTAGGTGCCATCGAGTCAACTGGGACTCACAGAAACTGTGAACAACAGATCTGAACTTTTGCCCTATCCGGTGCTATCCTCATTGATGAAACTCTATCTGGGACATTGAGTTGCGACCGGACACTCTGATAAGAACTCTTTTCCCATTTAGCTAAGGGACACTTATAGTCTTCACTAATGTCTAGAAAAACAAACTTTAAGGAGCTCTCTGCCTAGTTGTAAATCTGCTAGATGGCTTTACTTAGTGGGTCCCATTACTCCTGTCAGAGCCAGCAATGTCTTTTGAGCTGGGAGTCTCGTAGCAGCCTCTGCATCCTGGAGCAGAGGAACAAGTGCAGAGACTGGGACATGGTGCAGCCACGTTCTGCCTGGTTGTTCTTTAAGGAGGTACCAGGGCCTGGGCTTTGACCCCAGAAAGTAGTTCCCATAGAAGGGAGGGAGAGACTCACTGTGTGAGCTCATGCATCTGGATTCTTCCCCACGACGAGACGGAGGGTCCCAGACACACCTAGACTGATCGCTCAGCATCTCTCAGCCTCTGTTCTCCCCTTGTTTTTCTGATAGCATGTTTGCCTCCAGCAATCAGCTGTCAGACTATGATAATGTCACCTGCTGCTCAAAAGAGGTAGCCCCAGTTTTTGTTGTTATGTGCTGTCAAATTGCCTGAGACCCATAGAGACCCTGTGCCAGAACCCTGAACCAGACTCACCGTCTCCAACACACCTAACCCCATTTACCTCAGCTACTGGGTCAATCCATCTCCTCTAGGACCTTCCTCTCTTGTACTGTCCCTTCGCCCTTCCAAGCATGATATCCTTCTCAGGGATTCATCCCTCCTGACAACATGGCCGAAATATGTGAGACTGAGCTTCAAAATCCTTGCCTTTAAGAAGCAATTTGGTTTCAGTCTCTCCAGGAGAGATCTGTTTGCTCTCCTGGTGGTCCATGGAATGTTCAACACTCTTCTCTAGCACCACAACTCAAGGGCATCGATCTTTTATCTGTCATCCTTTGTCATTGTTCAGCTCTCTATTGCACAGCAAGTAATGGCAAATAAAGACCATGACCTGGATCAGGCGCACCTTAGTCTCCAGGCTAACATCGTTGCTCTTCAGCGCTCTGGAGCGGTCCCTGACAGCAGACTTTCTCAGTGCAATTTCTCTTGATTTCCTTACTGCTGGTGTTACCACCAACTCCAGGGGATTGTTCCCAGGTCTCTGTCCTCTAGGAGTACTTAGGCAGGCAGATGTGGGGCCAAGGTTTGTCACATATTGTTACTTCCAGCTTTCCCTCCCAACAAGCTCCTTCCTGCTTTTCAGAGATGTGCTCTCTGCTGAGAAATGCCATTGTGTTTGTTGTGTACCGTAAAGTCGGGACCAGCCCATAGCTGACCCTCCAGTGGGTTTTCAGAGGCAGTTAATCGCACGGGAGGAGACTGCCCATCCTTCTCCCACAGAGCAGCTGGTGCCTCCAACTGCCTTCTTTCAGGATTGCAGCACAGCTTCTTGCCTCTAGGCCACCAGATGGCTTCTCAATTCCTTCTTTCTCCCTCCTCACTGGGTGAGCATTTTCTTTCCAGAGCTTCTCTCGTCCTGCCCCCTGTGTAATGTTTGTTCTGCAACGTCCCCCTGACTGAGGACCTTGTATCTATTCTCTCCCTCCTGCTTGACATTTTGTTCTTCCAGACCAGAAGACTGTCTGATCATTCTCTATCTTCCATCCTTTCGTTCTGAGGAATGAATAAGTGTATGGATCGGGGAGTGAACACTTGTCTCTCTTGTTACCTTACTCCTTTCTCTCACTGTCCTCTTAGCTTATTGCCCGGGCCCCTTTTCTCTTTACATGATGCCTCAGCAAAGAGGAAAAAGCACTAGGAGGTGGGGTAAGCCTCTGTTGGAGGAAAAAGTCCCAAGCTCTGGGAAATTTGGTCACAGATGGGTACTCTGTGGTCTAGCAATGCTCAAATATTTCTTCTTCTGGGGGAACAGAAAATCAGTTCAAGCAGCTTGGCTACCGAGAAACCGCCTCTGTTTGCCAGAAAAGCCAGGCATGTCTTCCCAGAGAACTGAGCGCCAAGGGCTGAGCAAATGCTGCCTATTTTCATTTTCCCAACAGATATTTTTTAAAGTACCTTTTATGAATCAGGTGTTGGGCTGAAGCCACGTGTAAGATATGACTCTTAGGTAAGGGGCTTGTGCTGCTGGATTGGAAGCACTCCTAGAGCGAGAGGGGTAACCCAGGAAAAGAGGAAGAGTGTGGCTGGTTGAGTAGCAGGAGTGAGTCTTATCAAAACTACTGAACATTAATAATGAAACAAAAATTTAAAAAAATAAAAAGGAATGAAAACTAGAAGAAAAAAAAACACAACCCTTTAAAACCCCACCAACATTGAAAAGTGATAAAAAAGAAAGAAGCTGAGCTGCAATCCTGAAGGCACATAGTTTGAATCCATTAGCTGCCCCGAGGGAAAAATGGGCAATCTCCTCCCCTGAGATTTACTGCCTCTGAAAACCCCCTTCAGGGTCAGCTATGGGTCAGTTCTGACCCGATGGTGCACAGTAACAGCAACAACATGGGCCTCTAATCGTAAGGAGTAAATGTCCTGTAACAATGAGAGTTTTTCGTGTTCGGACTGTGCCTCTGAAATGCCATTTCTCACCAGTAGAAACCAGGCTTCTTGGATGAACGCTGTGGTGGCGTTAGGTTCTGGCACATGGTGACCTATGTCCCCAGGAATGAAATTTTGCCTCTCCTGGGCCGGAGCACAATGTGTGAGCTCAGTGTTGCAACCACTGTCAACCCATCTCAGTTGAGGTTTTCCTCTTTTTTGCTGCCATCCTACTTTACCGAGTAAGATTCCCTTTTCCAGGCTTTGGGTCCTCCTGACATTTTCCAAGTTGAGTCATGGAAGGTGATTTCTGCTCCAGATCTTGTCTGAGGGGTAACGAAGGGGCACGCTTTCAGGAGTCCTCCCAGTCTCTATCAGCCCCCTGAGCCTGGTCTTTTTTATCATTTTGCTTCACATTTTTCTCCCATGGTATCAGGAACCTTCCATTGTGATTCCTTTCAGAGCAGTTGGCAACGGTAGCCGGGCACCATCTAATTCCTCTGATCTCAAGGTCATGGTGAATGAAGTTCACATGGTCCAATCATCCTTTGGACTTACAGTTTTTGGCCTCCTCCCTCTTTGCTCTGAAAGACGAGAGACTGTGGCACTGTAGAAGGCCATTCCTAAGTTTGTAAGAACCAAATTGCTTTCACTCAAGTAGGACATAAGACAATGGCCTTTGCAGGTTATGTTATTAGATTGGAGTATTTATGGGGGAAAATCAAGAGGTGTCCCATGTACTACCTCTGGTGGATTTAAACTGTTAGCAATTGAATACTTAATCACTAGTACTTCTTGAATATTGCACTAGCTGTTTTTAAAAGCCACTGGGTTATACAAACAAACAAACCCCACTGGACTGTTTCAGAGGAAGGATAGCCCTGTACAAACAGATGCCTCTATGCACCAAGAAATGCCTAAGGCTACCAGAAGCTGAGAGGAATACAATCTTTCCATAGAACCTGAATTCAGACTAATAGGTTCAAGAACCGTGAGACCATATATTTCTGTCCAGCTAAGAGAAAACACACAAATAAAAAGAAAAAAAACATTGGGCTAACAACATTCATGATCTAACAAAATAGATTTGAACTCTTGTTCCTGTAATATGCGGTTGTTGTTATTGTTAGGGACCGTCAAGGTGAGGACCTTATGAACTAAAGATCTGAACCCTGTTCTATCCTGCATCCTCCTCACACTTCCTGACACACAAGACCTCACTGCAGCAGTCACTGAGTCAATCCACCTGATTGGGGGTCTTCCTCTCCTTTGCCGACCTTCCACCCTTCCCAGCATCATGTCCCTTTCCAAGGAATAGCCACTCCTAACAACATGACCAAAGTCTGTGATACTCCAAAGAGCATTCCGGCTGCACCCTCTCCAAGACATATCTGTTTGTTCTTTTGGCCGTCTGTGGGATGGTCAGTGCTCTTCTCCAATACCACAGCTCAAAGGCGTCAGTACAGAGTAGACTCAAATTTATGGACAATTGTGCCTACGGCAAACACTGACACTGTGCCCCTGCCCAAACATCAGACACCCACCCATCTTTTCAATAATGTTACCACCATCAGGCCCAAAAGATAAGTCAAAGTCCTTCGTCTTTTTCTTGACACATTAGGACA